AGCCACCCATTTATCCCTGCCTGCAGCACACATCTCCTCGAACAGAGATGTGGAGATGGCACGTGAAACAGACTCTTAGATCCAGAGCAGAGAGGCGAGTGCAACTACATCTTCTTTGATCCCAGATCCAGAGATTGTGCATCTTTGCACAAGCACATGTCTGAAGAAGTCTGAAAGAAGGGGATCCCTTTGGATTGTTCATTCTGGACTGTGGAGCTCTAGATCATCGAAGACCAAAGAAGTTGTGGTTAACTCCAGGGCTCCTTACCAGCAAGTGGACATGACGTAGTGGGACTGAGGCCTATGGTTACTGCAGTATGGGGAGACCCTGTCATGGGTGGAGAAGGGACCACACCATCTTGCTGTGGCTTTGAGATCTTCCAGAACTGCTGGGGCTCCCGACAGAGTCAGAGGAACAGGAGAGTTCAACCTGAGGTAAAGATTTATGGAATTCTGCCGGCAGAATGTGCCGTCTCCTAAAATGTCCACCCCCTGTAGTAGTGCTAATGAATCATGAATAAGTGTACCTACAACTGTAGATCAGCTAGATTGCATTTCAGCTTGTTTAGTGCATTTGTAACAGTAGATGTTTTCGAAAAGGCTTTGTTCACATTCCAGATTTTGTCCTTTTAATTCTGTGTTCTGATTCGTGTTCTGCAGATGTGATATTTCAAATGCAAAGTGATAATTTCTCTTTAGTTTACAAGTCAGATAAGCTTCACATTGATTGTGGAAACCTCTATAATGCTTTACAGCCTGTTGTGAACAACTAGGTCTATTTACCTGTTGCTTAAATAGATGCTAAATAGATGCTAAATAGAATGCTCTCAGAACACATTCATGTTTTTCTTCACAATGCATAAAAGGTATTACCTAGCAAAATATCCGTCCTGCTCTTTTACATAGAGCGGCTGGTGACAAGTGGCTGCACTTTGTGAGAAAAAGTGTGCAAAAACTGAACCCTTAGGGCAGGGGTTCTCAACTCTGGCCCTCGAGGTCCACTTTCCTGCAGACTTTAGCTCCAACCTTGATCAAACTCACCAGCCTTTAACTTTCTAGTGATCCTGAAGACCTTGATTAGCTTGTTCAGGTGTGTTTTATTACGGTTGGAGCTCAACTCTGCAGGGAAGTGGACCTCGAGGGCCAGGGTTGAGAACCCATCCCTAAGGGGTACAACAGCTTGTCACTTAGGGCCAGGGATGGGCAGTATTTGAAATACAAAATACTATTTTGTTTTTAAATACCTTTTTGCATTTAAATACATTTAATCTTAGTATTTTTGTATTTAGTATTTTTGTATACTTGTTGATCCAGGAAATCAGCAGTCTAATTAAGAGGTTGATTGGCAAAAAGTATTTTTGTATTTTGAAAATACAAAAATAATAAGCTTAAATGTGTTTTGTATTTCAAATGCATATATTTGAAATACTGCCCATCCCTGCTTAGAGCAGTACCCCTAAAAGGTGTATGATAGTACCTTATAGTAGTAATATGTACCTTGTACATAGGTACTTACTTCTATTAGCCTTCTAGGGGTAAAAAATTATGGTTCAGTGATGCCCCAAGCTGTTGTACCCATAAAGACACACATTTTACCACATTATTGAGTGTGTCAAGCTCCAGAAAAGAACCATAACCAGGGATGGGCAGTATTTCAAATACTTGCATTTGAAATACAAAATACTATTCAAAATACAAAAATACTTTTTGCCAATCAACCTCTTAATTAGACTGCTGATTTCCTGGATCAACAAGTATACAAAAATACTAAGATTAAATGTATTTAAATACAAAATACATTTGACTTTTTCCATAGGTATTTAAATACAAAATACAAAATTGTATTTCAAATACATGTATTTGAAATACTGCACATCCCTGCCAGCAGTCTAATAAGGAGGTTGATTGGTGAAGTACCTTATGTATTTTGAAAATACAAAAATACTAAGATTAAATGTATTTAAATGCAAAAAGGTATTTAAAAACAAAATAGTATTTTGTATTTCAAATACTGCCCATCCCTGACCATAACAAATTTAATTTCAGTTTGTTTCTCACTCAGTTATCATGTCTTCAGAAGACTAGAAAAATAGTGCATGAGTCATAGGGCTTGACAGCTGCAGTCATCCATACACTTTCATATGGAGCAGTCTGGAAAGTCTGCAACTTCTAGACTATTCTAACTACTTTTATGTTCCATGAAAAAAGGCTACATATTTTCAACATTAATGGGAGTTGATGATAACAGAGTTTTCATTTTCAGGTGAATCTCAGACAAGACAAGCATTTTGGATCAAAGTGTTGAGATGATCAAATGATTCCTGACTCAGCCTTGTTCAAAAACCCTGATCAGTTCTCTCTAGCATTTCCCTGTGCTGCTGTATAAGGCCTTCATAGTCATTAATTAAATACTTATGCTAATAAAATCATTTATTAAATGGCTGATTAGAGAATGTAAATAAGCAGTCTATCACCTTTTAATCATTACTACATCCACAGCAGCGATTGTGTGAGTGTTGGTATTTACCTCACACGTTTCCATGACTGGTTTCAGTCATGCAGAACTGTTAGTTTCTTAATAAAGGAGCCTTGAATGGGATGGACCAGAGATGCTGGCAGGCTGCTGAGGATTGGGCTGGGAAAGAGGTGTCATGCATGTGCCCTCTCTGAGCTCCATTGTGCTGAATGAGCACTCCATCAGGAACAGTTCATCCCCATAGCTCACCATGATTACTAGAGTGCCTCTGTGTTATGTAACATAAACACTAATCATAATCAGGCCTCGTTCCCTCCTCCCACCACAGTGAGAGTGTTTGTTCTTTTGTCCCACACCTTTGTCTCTCTACTGATCTATCTCTGTCTTTTGTAGACAGTCTAGTTTGCGCTCTCAATGTAATAATTGGTTACAGCCTAAAAAGTTTCACCTAAAAACGAACATTGTCATTATTTACTCGATCTCATGTCTTTCTTTCAACTTTACTATGGTCTGCTTTTATAGTGTTTTTATATTTTGCAGGGGATGAACTGTAGTATGGATCTATTAGAAAATTATCCTTAAAAATTCTACTTTGACAATGAAAAAACAGCAGAATATGTGTTTGGAAAGACATGAGATTGAATAAATAATGACAGAATGAACTTATTCTTTAAACATTAATCCATATTCAATGCATTTAGATTCGCATTTAGATTTCAAAAAATACTCTTTAGCTATAGTAGGTATTTATAGAGGCACTCACTATGTACAGTATGTTCAAATCCAATCCAAATGCCATGCACTGTGGTTTGGTTATGCTAAAACTAAATGCCCTCCTTTTTTCTCCATCCTATCACTGATTTTCAGAACTACAATCACTATTTTTCTTAGGACTAAATTAGTAGACACAGGTTGTATCAGATACAGTGAAAAGCTTCCGCCTCTGCCATGCTTGTTACATGTGAGCAGAGCTAGTCTATAGGGAATAGGTGTGAAAAAAAGTGTCAACTTGCTACCTTCTATATTTGCCATTTATGAAGGCTTGAAGTGTTTTGTATAGCTAGAATAAGTCAAACTGTCTCCAGTAAAATAGACTTTTGATGGCCATCTGATAAAAATTCAATAGACATTACAAATGGTTTAAAAAGACAATTTTTTATATATTTAATTAAACATAAATATATCACTATAGCTCACAGCAATCAATTTTTCCAATAAAGATGTATCTGTCGTAGGCAGACTTAGGGGCTCTTCACACATTCTCACTTTCCCACTGTGAGATTTTTTAATTGGTTGGTCTATGGAAACATGCAGCCTGATATTTTGTGCCAATGCCTGGCACCAAGATGCCATGCCAACGTAAAAACAGTTAAGCTATTAAAAACTCATCTCAGAACCCCAACATGAAGTTAGTACTCTGCACTTCAATGATAGGATTTTTTTTTAAATATTATTTGTAATTGTTCTATTGTTTAATATTGAACATATACAGTATTTTACTAATATTACAACTGTGCTTATTTTCTGTTATATTATGTTTTGATAAAAAAAATTATTAAACACTTAATTAAATTTAATTTACCAATAATATTTGATTCTATTCACACACGTTTATAACTCATTATTGTTGTTGTTTTGTTTTGTTTTTTTGTGCAAAAGTGTCCCATATATTTGGCTGGTTGTGTGATCTCAACATGTCTGCCCCCACAATGCGGGACCACCTTTATGTAGAATAAAATCACTTTATTTTCACCGCTCAGTCATAATTATTCACCTAAACACATTTGTCAACAGTACTATTAATTTTTAGGTGTACAAATGTACTTTTTTCACTAATGCAACTAGCCTACACGATCTCCCGTTCAAATCAAAGCCCAATTAATCGCGGAGGTAATAAGGTTGAGTGAGGGGCGTTTTTAAGCTCTTGGCTCGCTCACTGCTCTTCTGTCATTTTGAAACAGTTAAGCTATTAAAAACTCATTTCAGAACCCCAACATGAAGTTAGTACTCTGCACTTCAATGATAGGATTTTTTTTAAAATATTATTTGTAATTGTTCTATTGTTTAATATTTAACATATACAGTATTTTACTAATATTACAACTGTGCTTATTTTCTGTTATATTATGTTTTGATAAAAAAAATAATTAAACACTTAATTAAATTTAATTTACCAATAATATTTGATTCTATTCACACACGTTTATAACTCATTATTGTTGTTGTTTTGTTTTGTTTTTTTGTGCAAAAGTGTCCCATATATTTGGCTGGTTGTGTGATCTCAACATGTCTGCCCCCACAATGCGGGACCACCTTTATGTAGAATAAAATCACTTTATTTTCACCGCTCAGTCATAATTATTCACCTAAACACATTTGTCAACAGTACTATTAATTTTTAGGTGTACAAATGTACTTTTTTCACTAATGCAACTAGCCTACACGATCTCCCGTTCAAATCAAAGCCCAATTAATCGCGGAGGTAATAAGGTTGAGTGAGGGGCGTTTTTAAGCTCTTGGCTCGCTCACTGCTCTTCTGTCATTTTGAAATACACATGGCTTTGGGAATGACGATGTACTGATAGGCGTTATTTATTGGGGTCCCATCGTTCGTTGACAGATGGAAACTTAAAGAGAGAGCAGTAAACAGATAGTGGCGAAGGCGGTGCCGTTGCATACTCAAAGCTCGTGTCAAAGCGAGGAAATTGTGAGCGGAGGCACTCGCGGCAAGTAGACTACACACTAACAACTCGTGCCTGCAAGCCGGTTGTGTTATTAGAGGCTAACTCGTGCAGCTGCACATTTGGACATTGTGCCATAACTGTCCTGGATTACCACTTTAGGAACGCCATGACTTGGCAAACAAATGCAGTGTGTTAGGATGGAAGGAATATGGGTTCAGTGATAGGTAAGCGCACGTAAACAAATCTATATAGAGTGCAAGCAGGCTGGAAAACCTGAACAGGTGGCATATCTCGGGACATACACGTCAAGTGGAGCAGACGGACAGCTTGCCTCTTTCCGTTAATCTCCTGCTGACGAAAGCTTTTCAACCCCTCTCTGCCTCATCGGGAAACACTTCATTTCGCGAAGTTCTCGCTGCTATTTTCCAGTGCTGACAGAACGGGTTCCGGTGTCTTACAGGATTCTTGAGATGCACATGCAAGTTTCCTACTGGATTTAATAGCGAACGTGTTCTTTCTTTCTTATGCCTTATGACTTGGATGTGGATGTGATATCCACTTGTCAAAAAGCGACATGTTTCCTGAAATTAATAACAAGGTAATGTATGATTAGCAAGTTATGCCTTCCTTCGCATGCATTTAGGATTACTCTTGTTAAAAGCTTCAAAACTTATATTTGCAGCATAGTTATCTGATTGTGGTTGTACTGAAGTTTGCTATCAGGCTATTATGAAAAAAAAAAAGAAGTTTTAACAGTATAGCCTACAGTCGTAGGCTATATGAAATAGTTTATTCATGTATGTTTTATTAGATATTATTGGTACGCCTTTTAAAATGTAGCCATATCATGGAAAGCACAGTTTATGTAATACCATAATGATATTTCATACAGTTTATTGCTGTTATAGCGGTAACTTGGTATCAGTCTCCACTGTTCTTAAAAAGAAAAATAAATTAACCGGGGGAAAACAAAATCTTTTTTTAAATTAGATTAATTTATTTTTATTTCAATTATATGCATGTTAATTATTATATATTGGTATTTTATTTTTTTTTACAAACTTTTATTTTGGCGGAAACCATAATCATAATAGGGCTAAACTATAATGCTGTGATCAAAAGAAAAGTGTGTGTGTGTATGTATATATAGTTTATATTTGTGTATAAAATATATAGCTAATTATAAGCCTATATATACTTTTCAGAAGAAGAAAATGTGGTTACCATGGTAATTTTGTAAGGGACTATAAAGAACTTCCTCACATTGTTTTATTTGGTTATTTGCTCAGATTTCATTGCACTTCGCCTTCTAAGAATCAGAACTTACAGTAACACGAGAGTCTAGGCCTATTTGATTGCGTTCCGTTCTGTGTATTTTCGGTTTTATTGATTATAACATTTAGAGTGCAAGGTTACATTAAATTATGCAGGAGTCCCAATCTTCTATTCATCCTGCCACTCCAGCATTGAGATTTATCCCACTGCTGTGTTTAATGAAATGCATTGGCGACAGTGCATTGTCTGTGTTCTGTCAAAGATTGATGTTAAAAGCACCCCTTGCACCATATGAGTATATTTGGTCTGAACATGTGATGCTTAAAAAACCTCAAGCCAGTGTCTAAGTATGAACCATCCTTTAAGGTGACTGTCAGCAAATGATTCAGTACTGAGCTCCAAGTAAAGGCATTAAGAGTCTTGAGTATTAAGAAAGGCATATGATGTATATTTGAGCCTTTTGGGGTGTGGTTTGGGCTTCACTCATGATCATAGTTTCTTCTTTATTGGGGTGGCCCAAATCCTCTATTGGTCTGTCTGTGTATGTGATACCAAAATGTGTAAACCATTGGTGGTGGGCTTAAACACCAATTTATTTTTTTAAATAGCATATGGAATATAAAATTGGGCTCATTGTATAGTGAAAGTCATTGGTTTAGCTCACAGTAGACTTTTAAAAATAAAGGTTCCACAAGGGTGTTTTCAAAGTGATGCAACAGAATAACCATTTTTAGTTCCCCAAAGAACCTTTCAGTGATCTGTTCTTATAAGATCCATTTTTCTTAGTGCAAAGAACAATTTAACAATCTAAAGAACCTTTATCCATTATAAAGAACTTTTTGTGGAATGGAAAGTTTCCATGAATGTTAAAGATTCTTCATGGTTTAACCATAGATGCCAATAAAGAACCTTTATTTTTAAGAGTATAATTTAGAGATGCATTGATATAAAAATTCTGGCCGATAATTGTTTTCATGATTTTTAAAATTCTATTCTATTTTGTTTTAATATAATTAAAATGAAAATCAAATGTTTTATATGCTACAATCAAATTTAGCCATCACAACATTAAAATGTAAGCATGAAAAATTGATATTCATTTTGAGATGTACTAAATATTACATTTTACAGAATTAAATTGTTAATATTTTTAAAGATGAACTCTAAGTGAGCTTGAAGCTCAATGATTGCAAACGTAATCTACATGTAAAAATGAGAAACTATCATGCACAATTAAATATCCAATATTAACCAATTCCAATACATTTTATATTGGCTGAAAAAAAAATCATTCAAAAATTGCTACTAAATTTCGCTAATACAAAGAAACAGTAAGTAACACATTGAATTAAATGTGAAAGATACATTTTATATTGGCTGAAAAAAAAATCATTCAAAAATTGCTACTAAATTTCACTAATACAAAGAAACAGTAAGTAACACATTGAATTAAATGTGAAATTTTGAAGTAGAAAATCTGAAATAGTATTTTGTTGTACTCCAATAATCTTTGCTTTATTTACAACTTCGAAAGTAAATCATTTTTAATCGTGTGGTACCAATATTTTGTGCATCCCTAATCAATATAGATCAGAAAAATGTCAAATCACCCAAGGAATGAATGCAATTTTTCTTGCATTTTATTGGCGAATCTGTCTCACCCTTGCATTGCACACTGACCCACATTGTAACACAAAGCCCTTGGTCCTGAACATAGCAACTCAAAGGTGTTAATATTTGAATGAGTCTTTTAAAGCCCGGGGCTCACATTGCACAGCTGACTGGCCGCAGTCTAAGTGTAACAAATTTTTACTGCCTGTTTTCTAAATGCATCTCTTTGTTGCTGCCACAGTGGAATC